AAATGATTTAGTGCCTAGTGCCTTTCTTAGTGTTTTTTTTTCTGAACTAACATTACTTGGAGATACATAGTTAAAACCTGAAATAATTTGAAATATTTAAGGCTGTGGCAGCACTGAATTTACAAGAATCTACAAATTTAAATGGCCTAAAATACAACCATGATTGATAAAAAGCTGAAGTTGCAAACCCACCTTGTTAAATTCTATTCGCGGTGAAAATGCTAGTACGCAGGTAGTTAAATATTTCTTTTCTTCTTTTCTAATTATTTGTACAAATTTTGCTTTTTTACCACCTGAGTAAAACACATCGTTTCTTGGTGCTGAATCCAAATCTGGCCTCACAATTGCTCTAGCACTAGATATCCTAACCTCAAAGTGCCAAAAACACGGTTTTTAGCGATATTTGAGGTTATATAATGAAAAATCAAATTATTTGCTCATTTCTAATTAGGGCATCATTTTCGTTTGATGCGATTCGATTTTTCTTTCTCGAGATATACCACTTTTAATGTGCAGTACTTCGGTATTATGTTATGAAAAAAGCTTTCCTTGATTCAAAAAAATTTGGTGCTTTTGGTGTGGTAAAACGCTTTTTTTCAAAGTTTTTTGTGCTTTTTGAAAATCAAAAGATGGCAACACTGCTTAAATCATACTTATTTCCCTCAGCTCTTTGCACATCACGCCAAGGAGAGTTGAAGTTTGCGCGCGTCAGGCATGTTGTTAAGTATGAGTATGATAGATACCTCTTGTTTAAGGGTGGATATGACGTTCGGGGGCATTTCAGTAAATATGAATGCATATAAGTAGAACAAATTATGGATGGTGAGTGGGATATATTCAGTTTTATCATACTCGCTGCGCTTCTCTGGTACAGAGCCAAAAGCAACATTTTTGTTTTGCAGATCTTTCGCTGTATCGCTGTCTACATTCGCACGAATGTAGCAATGCTTTGCTCGAATAAAACAAAAACACGGTCGAAAGCGAATAAATGAAACAATTTTTCATTCTCTTATGTCCCGCTGAGACGCTGCCTTTGGAAGTGAAATGGGACAATGAATCTTAAATCTGAAAAGTTTGTGCAAAGTTTCAGATCCTGCACTTTAATTTGATGTATGTATAATTTATCTCTGTACGATTTGTAGATCCCTGGGAATAAGCACAGTGTTTTAGAATAACGTATGCGGAATGAAATACGGACTGTGGCAGTAAAAGAAACAGCTATACTTTCGGATAGTGATGAGCGATATTTCACTACCGGTGATTTTAGCACTGTGATTTAAAAATCGCTAATAGTGACTGCTACTGCTCGGCAACAATATCAGAGTTTGGTGATTTTTCTACTCGCGTGATATTTTGCTGTGAATGAAAATCACATCTGACAATAGCTAAATAGTCAACAGAAGTTGCGAATGGAGATTTTTCTTTATCATGGTAGGTTAGGTTAGGTTGGGCGGCAGTCCAGAAGTAGGACACACTTAGACTCAGGGTCCTTTGTGATACCCCATGAGGGGTTTTTAATTATCCCAATCCCCTGTAAGCCACTTGGTGCTTAGCAAGAATGTGCAAAGACTTCTGACGTTCACCTCTTTGAGGTCATCCGATCAGACAATGTCCGGTGAGAACTCCAGTCACTATATGAATGTTCTGCCTACTTAGATTAAGTAGAGACTTGGTGCGCTGGGCGTTCGTGGCGGGCCAGAGCGTTTTGGCAATGTGACAGGTTGGTTCCATTCGCCATCTTTCATTGGCAACTTCTATGAATTTTTCATTCAGTAGATATTTGCATGTCCGAAGTGGGATTCCGAGAGTTGTATCCCTTATGTCTGCATCCGGCAATGTTCCATGACGCGCGAGTTCGCCAGCCTTGCAGTTTCCCTGAATGTCGCAATGGCCAGGTACCCAGACAACGTGTGTGCTGAATGTCTCAGCCATCTCGTTGAGAGACTACTTTTGAAGTCAGCGACATATTTCCCAGAGATTTTACTGCCGCTTGGCTGTCAGTGAAGATGTAGATTTCATGAATGAATCATGGTAGAAAAGGTGATTTTACAATTTTTAATTATTCATTATGGATATGCTCGTATGTACATATATTGCGTTTTTTCATAACCGTTCCACGGTTGTTTTAAATGGACATTTTCAAGTATGCAGTTTAATTTGCTTGATCGCGTTATTTTTGGTTAATTTTTTGTTTCTAAATTTGTATCAACGAGTAAATATGGCTGCAAATATTATTAAAAAAACGAAGTGACTGAAATCCCTATGGGTAGGGAATTATCTCTACATGCTCTAACACCGATTTGTCATCATTTATTAGTACTATTACACATTTCGTTTCCACGACAGCTGGGTCTGCGTAACCGGAACGACCCAGATTTATATTTGGCCAAGGACTGTCACTCCAGCAACACTCCCCAAAAACTCTTTGGGGAACTTGTGTGCTGCTACAACAACAACTATTACACATTTCTGTGTTATTAAAAGAACTAGCGGTCGCACTAGCCATAAAAATCACTGTGATTTAAAAATCGAAATCACTCTTTTCACTGATACTGAAAAATCGTTATTTCACCCATCACTACTTTCGGATGCAACAAATATTTTTTTCCACTCACATAGATATTGTCGAAATTTCCGGGACAATTTTGCATAGAAAATAGGGCATGAGTATTATAACGCATAGGTATGTGCATATAAGCCGTGTTCGCGTACGCACTATCCAGTACTAATTTTACTGGATGTCGTTTCCGTCCGCAAAAACTTGCAAGAAACTATCAAAAGAGGTGAAATTAAGAGAGCAAAAATGACAGCTGAACTTGCAAATTTTAAACGGCGTTTCCACGACAACCGAATCACGTGGTTCGCTCATTGTAGAAGACAACGATTTGTTCTTGATTCGCATGGTGATTGGATCTGAATCACCTACGAATGAAATGATTCGCTCTCAAAATTTTGTATGGCGAATTACGTGATTCGGTTCATAATTGGGGCGCCAATCTCGAATGAGAGAGCGAATCACTTGTCGTGGAAACATCGTTTTACTGGATAAATTTTTGCTAGCAACTATTTACTAGTAAGAAAAACAGCTGATGACATGATGCTTAATGCAATTCCCATTACCAAAAGAATTGTTTGTGGTGCTTTTAGAGTTGCAATTGACAAAATAAACACATCTAAATATATATTAAGACGGGAAATACTATTTTTCTTAGAAAATTGCGTCGGGAAAAAAAAATCAATCAACTTTTCATAAGACTTGCAACTTCTTGCTGGTTTTGCGTTTTCGTACTTTCTTGCATGTTTCTCTCATTGGGAGTAAATATTGGCTTACTCTCCGAAATTTGGTTACTGGCAAGCTACTGGATATTTTTTGCTGGAGAATACGAAAACACAACTATAGTTCGTTCTATTTTCAAAAGTGAGGTGTCAAATGACAGGGCTTGGCCTGTATATGTGCAATAAAGTTTAATTTTTTTGAAATCGGTTGCCACCTGTTACAAATTTTATTAAAATTATTTAATGAGTTAAATGAATTCGATATTACAATATGTGTATCAATTCAAATGCTTTACTTCTAAACGATACGTAGAAGGGTTGCCACATGTTTAAAAAATCAAATTCACTTTAATTAAGTGAATAAGGTAACTGAAATATGTATAGCAATGCGGGTATCAGACAAAAGAAAAAACTTTACATATTTAGCAAGAAATAAGTGAAGAGTAAAAACATTCCGGAGTTAATTTAAGAATCCAGTAATACGTAAGTACAGGCTGAGTTGCAGCTCGACTTTGTGCTGTGACCGGCGCAGAACTTGAACTCGAGGCTTCATGTAAACTTCGATGATGATAGCGGCGGCAGGCGTTAACGTCACAAAACTTGTTTGAACGGCAGTTAGACGTGTTGTGTCCTTTACGCAGGCACGAGAAACAAAGCTGCAGGGATTTCACCTTTTCCCAACGATCACGAACACTCATTGACTCATTGAAAGCTTGACAATCACTAATCGAGTTGCTCTAAAAGTGTAGTATTATTTAGGTGGTACTCACATTTGGCTGAAGTTAGAAACGCAACGATATTTTGTGTTTTTGTTGAAAGTGATAAAATTTGTTTAACCTTGTTTTCAGCTATGTTCGGAAACTGGTGAATTTTGCTTAGCTGACTTCTTGCCAAGGGGTCTGGCCGACCAAATTGAAATTCAAGCTCCGCGATGGCATTTGGCACGTCTTCGGGGTACATCAGCATCGAAGCTGCCGTTTCTTTCGCATGGCCGACTAGGCACTTGTGAAGCCGCATTAAATTCTGCCGGTTGCTATAACGAAACGCTTCGGTCGTATCTTTAAAATTAACCAAGAAGAGCGGCCACTCTTCTGCATTACCCGAAAACGTAGGCAAGTCGTATAGTTTCTTAACTGACTCACTAGCTTCCACCAATGTTTTTTTTGGGCGGACCATTCTGGCATAATTTCGGACGTAGACGTAGTAGGACCGGTGGATGTACTTCTAGTTCAATATTATTTCGCAGCCTCTCTATATCACGTTGACTATCCTCTGTAACCGTCTTCAATTGCGCAACAGCATTCGTTAAAGCGTTAAGGCTGGCTACAATCGCTGAAAATTATCCACATTGTGCACCATCATTAACCCCACCATCGCCTTCCATTTGTTCACCTTGCGATCTGTCTTGATTTCTCAAATTGTAATTGCTACTCGGCATAATATTCGCTCACCAAATCGTACCACCAATCGTGTAAATTAAGCGAACCTTAAAAACTCGAACTTTTATTAAGCGCCACTTTCGCAAGCATAAACCAATAACATTCGATTGAATGCAAACAAACAAACATGCGACAAAAACCAAAATTTAGACAACATGTAGAATGATAGACTTGATTGTACGTATTTATTATTTAATAACTTTAGTCAAAACAACATAAAATAAATGCGATTATTTCCAAATTTTGCTAGCTAAACGCTAACGTTTACAAATTTGTATTTTGCAGGTGATTGTCGGCTGCTGCCTCCGATGACGATTAATTTGCCTCTGATCGTTTGTAAAAATGTACATGCAGAAGCAGATGTATGTTATTTATGCATGGATTAGTAAATGCAATAACTCGTTACTAATATACGAATGAGCCCATCACAATGTAGAAATGGTAATAGTACAAATGAAACATAAGGCACAGGGTGCCTCTGCAATGATGGAGGTTAAATTATTTAAAAAGAAGGCTGACATTTTTTTGTCGAGTGTTGCTAGTTATCTAGAAAATAACTTTCAGTGTTATAACAACAAAATTGAATATTCGAATGGCTTTTGCCCATAATTTACAATTCTTATTTCACAATTTACTGACATTGTAAGAGTTTTGCATACAAGGCATAGAGTTGGATACTCGTTTTAGCGAATTCTTAGTCTTTCAAAGTTTTTGCGTAGTTGAAAAAATGAGTTTAAGCCATGAGGAAATATAGACGAAGTCCTTGAATAGTGGTACCTTTCCACAGTTTGACAAAATATGTTTTTTTTTTTTTAATACCACACCCAAACGAAGCAACTGAGAGAATCATAAGTACAAAATTTGCTTCCTGGCGCAAAGAAACCGGCTTCTAATAAAAATTTTTTAAAGTGAACTTCATAACCGTACCGGTTATGCATTTTATAATAAAAAGCAAAAAATTTGAGTTATTTTTTTACTTTTAGTATTTTGAGCAAATAATACCGGGTAATTTTGCTTTTTATTTTTTTAAGGCAAAAATAAAGGTTAAAATTTGCATTTTATTTTTTTCAGGCAAAAATAAAAGTCAAAGTTTCAAATGAAGTATCCAGAGTTGTGTATACTCGAATTTAATAGTTTTAATAACGCCCTAATACACAAATACCAGGGTTAGATCCAATCTAAATATGTATGTATGTACTATGTATAAATACAATACATGAAGGCATTTTTTGTTAACAGCATCAGATCTGCACCGATTACTAGATTTTAAAAACTGAGGTTTCGAATTAAAGGGCTTGACCTCTAAATGTACAACAAGGTATGAGATTTTTGAAAAGGTTTGCCACCTTTTTTTAAATTATAAAACCTGCATCGTTCGTTGTATTAAAAGATTTAGGTGTAAAATAAAAGGGCAGGGCCTCTAGAAGTGCAAGAAAGTTTAATTTTTTTAATAGGATTGCCACCTGCTTAAAAAATCACAAAACTTATACCGTTCGCGCAATTTTTAAAAATTATATAATATGTCATATAAACGGGCTTGGTTAATAGATCTACAAGGAAGAACGTCTTATTTTTTTTAAAGCGTTGCCAGCTGCTAAATATTTTTTTTTTTGTTCAGAGCACCAGATTTACACTGTTCTCTCGATTTTAAAATGAGGTGCCAATTGAAAGGTATTCACTTAGAGGTGTGATTTGGGTTTATTTTTTTTTTTCAAGGTTTGCCACCTAATTGTAAATCTATTGCTTGAAATATGATACTCAGTAAAATATCGCAATATGGGCATAAAGCGAAAAGGTTTTTATACTAAATTAATATGTTCGTGCTTTTAAGAGTTGCCACCTATGAATTAATATGTAGCTATGAACAGTAAGTAACGTATTAAGGGCATTCGATATTGGTATCACACGACAGCTAGTTAAATGGCCTTTGTATAAATGTATGCGAATTTACGAGAGTTGTCATCTAGTTAACAACTCTTAACTAGCTTTCGACTAGCTGACATCCTGAAACATACGTTGTCAGTACCGTACTTACGGCGGAATATGGTAGATTTTGGAAAAGGGGGCGTGGCACCGCCCATACAAACTGAAATTCTCATATCGCTTATCTCTACAACCGCTTATGCTGGTAGGTAGGTAGGTTGTCGCGGTCGTCTATAAGACACACTTAGGCTCAGGGCGCATTGTGATGCCGCATGTTGGGTCAGCAACTCCCAATCCCTCCTAAAACCATTTTGAACTTTGAACGAATTTTAGAAGATCCCTGATTTCGACGCATCTAAGGTCCTCCAAGTTGTCGAAGAATTGCCTACCTAGAGTGGAGAGTCTTCGTCTAGATAGAGCAGGGCATTGGCACAACAGGTGCAGAATCGTTTCCTCCTCTTCTTCATCTTGACAACTTCTACAGAAGTCATGTGAGCGTAGGCCAAGCCGATAGGCATGCTTGCCAATTAGGCAGTGTCCTGTTATGACGGATACTAATAATCTAATATTGGACTTATTTAGACTCAGTAGTAGGCCAGTGCGTTTGGCGCTGAGCACCGGCCATAATTGTTTGGCAGTTTTGCAGGTGATTTCGTCCTGCCACCTTTCGTTCGCTACTTTAGTGAGCCTCTCGGAGATAAGTAGCTTAAAAGTTTGCAAGGGTATTCCTATTTCGTCATTTATATCCTCAAAAGGAAGTTTCGTGCCAAGTCGCGCCAGTTCGTCGGCCTTACAATTCCCCTCTATGCCGCAGTGTCCCGGAACCCATATTACCTTTGGGCGAAATGACAGCCATCTCGTTAAGAGATGCGCGGCATTTCATGGCTGCCATGGAGGTTTTCGACTGCTTCGTGAGGGACTTTATTGCCGCCTGGCTGTCAGTGAAGATATAGATATCAACTTGGGGTATCATATCACACTTTACCAGTTTCGTGGCCCTGTCGATTGCCATCAGTTCAGCCTGAAAAAACGCTACAGTGGTCCGGGAGACGAAAGCTGACGGAGATTCCCAGGTGATGGGAATATACACCTCCTCCAACCCTTCCCTCGAGCTTTGAGCCATCTGTGTATACATGGATGGACTCTCCACTACTTACAACGTCATGCTTCCAGTCTTCCCTTGAGGGTAGGAGGGTCGCGAACGCTGTAGCGGGTGCAGGTTCCGGAAGTGCATAGTCCACCGCTTATGCTGATGTCCCGAAAATTGACACAGCAACATACTTACTTACTTTCGGCGAAAAGTAGCAGATTTTAGAAAAGAAGCGTGGCGCCACCCATACAAACTGAAATTCTTATATCGCTTTTCTCTGGAACTGCTTA